AATAGAAATTATGAAACTTCTGCAATCTGTATTTGGGGTAAAAATGGGAGTTCATAACCCACTTGAATCTAATGTATGAAATATGATATGTCAAGAGCTTTGTAATGTTTTGAACAACCAATAAAAAAAATTTTTTTAAATAATAAATAAATAAATAAGAAATTATGAAACTGAAAGATGAAATAACTGAATTAAGAATTCAATAGATTAGAGCAAAAAAGCTGATTAGTAAATCAAAAGACAAATCAGTAGAAAATATCTAGACTAAACTACATAGGGAAAAAGGAAAATGCAGAAAGATAGGCAGTACAGTGAGACCTCGTGTATATTTAATTAGAATCCCAAAACTGCAAGAGAAAAAGTAGGGCAGAAGTAATATTTAAAGTGATGCAGGCCAAGAAACTTCTATAACTTAAAATTTTCATTCAGTCCAGATTCAAAAAGTTACATAAAAGTATCCAAAAGGAAAAAAAGCATCAAAAGTAACACTGAAGCACATCACAAAATTACAGAATAACTGCTAAAATACAAAGATTAAAAAGAATCATAAAAATAGCTACAGAAAAGACAAATATCATTTCTATGGAGGAAAAATAAGCAAACATGTGGCTTTACAACACAAATTATAAGAAACCACAAGACAATGGAATAACTTTAAAAAAAAAAAAAAAAAGCCTGAAAGCAATTTTCAGTCTGTAATTCTTTGTCAGCCAATAAATGCTTCAAAAATGAAGAAGAAATAAAGACATTTTCAGGTGTATGAAAACTGGGAGAATTTGTTTCAGCAGACTTGAAGTTAAAGGCAGGAGGAAAAGAATCCCTGAAGTGACTTAGAAATTTATGAAGATACAAAGACTAAGAAAAGCACCAATATGTGGATAATTCAAAATAAATATTCACAATATATAATATACGCATCACAACATATAATGCATAAGTAACAGCAACAATGTTTTCTTGCCATGTGATTTTAGTTCTACATCTGCTGCATACCACACCATACCAAAAAATGATAATGGTAGGGCATGTTCTAAGGGCACTGCATTCATTATGTGGGCAATGTTCACAGTCTAACTTATATTAGACGTCCTCAAAAATATCAGGAAAACTATTTTTTTAAAAGGAGTAAAAGAATAAAACCATTAGAACAGAAAAATTGAAATTTAAATGGAAAATTCCAAAATAGACAGGAAAAGGAGAAAATTGAAAACAAAGAACAGATGGTTTCAAATAGAAAATAAATAAGAAGATGACAGAATTAAACTTAATAAAAATGAACTAAGTCATTAAAAGACAATGACCACTGGGCATGGTGGTGCATGCCTATAATCCCTGTGGCTCTGAGAGTAAAGTAGGAGGATCACAAGTTCAAAGCCAGCCTTAACAACTTAGTAAGGCCCTATCTCAAAATAAAAAGGGCTTGGGATGTGGTTCAATGGTTATGTGCCTCTGAGTTCAATCCCTGGTATCAAAAAAAAAAAAAAAGGATAATGACCAAGACTAGTTTTTTTGTTTGTTTTTAATTAAAATATCTGCCATCTACAAGAAACATACAAGACATAAGAAAAATAAAATTTTAAAATAAAAATTGTCTTTATCAACCATGAAAACACTCACCAAAAGAAAGCTAATACAACTAATCAAATAATGGGCAAGAATCATTACTATAGATAAGAAGTGTATTTTATAATGATACAAGAGTCAATTCACCAAAAACAAATAACAATTCTAAATTTATGTGTGCCTAGTTGTATACCTTTAAATTTTCAACATCTAAATCAATGAAATGAGTAGGATTCATCTCAACATATACTGAACATTCATTTTGCTTCAGTTCCAGGAATATTTTGAGATATATAAATTATAAAATACTTTCTACAATTTTAGACATAATTTTGGTCCTAGAATTTAGCTTTACTCTAATAAATTTAGTTAGAAACACTGATAGCAAACATTGTATTTTATGTATTTAAATTTGTCTAGTAAAATTGTCTTTTCTTATATTGGGTAAATTGTGTTAAAGCTCCCCCTCCATAAACCTATCTTGATAATGTATATAAATCCTTCATTCAGAGAATATATCATGTACAAGATTTTAAAATATGGATTTTTCAATAGGATGCAAAGTGATCTTAGAAATGTCATAATATAAACTCTTTGAGTTCCCATTTTATTACCTCTAATATGATGGTAATAAATTATAAAAACATCCCACTTAATGCAATAAGAATAATGTAAGTCAGGCTAAGAGAAGAATATCTGTTCAGCACTATTAGATATAAATAACAAATAAATTATAAGTAATTCTGGGGATCTAGACTATAATTTACTGATTATGAAAGTAACTTTTATTGTAAGTAATATCATCTAGGTTTTTGACTTTTATTTAGTAATACTATTGATTAACATATTATGACTGTTTAAAATTAAAAATTCAACAATAAATTGCTCTAAGGAAAAAAATCTGGTTTGAGTTCCTAAAACCCAGTTTGTACTAACTTTTTGTATATTTTTTCCCTAATATTTTTAATCTTTCAATGAACTTCTATTATATTGCTATCTTTTTTCAACATTCAGTATGCACATTAAAATTATATATGTGTACATATAAAGGTAGATAGATAAATTCAAATATCATCTATAGTCAGTTTCTTCCTTTAAAAGAAACAAATTCTTCCTCTAATTGGCATTAATACCTCCACATTTTCTATCTTACACTTAAAGAAAGAAATCAGTGCATAACTTCAAATGTTTTAATCCCTCAGTTAGTTACCACTAACTGACATTCTTATTTCATTATTGGAATTAGTATATCACGAATTTCCCAGTAACCCTACTAAATGGCCTAAAATATATTCATTAAAATTAAGAGACCAAAGAAAAACTGTTCTCTCCTTCTAAGGGCATTCATTAAAATGAAATGTAACATAAACTGAACATCTAGTATATACCACATATTTTTACATAATTATCTTATTTAATCTATTATTCACATTTTTTATAAAAATATAATTGAAAAGGTAAAAGAACCGATCAAAGGTTATACATGTTACAAGAAAAGCCAGGCTTTGATCCTAGGTTATGTCTTGTTTATGAAACCAATATCTTTCCACTAACAGCTGGCAAATGTAAAGAACCTGATAGTTAATATTGTAGGTTTTGCTGGTCACATTAGGTTCTACTGACCATCGTCTCTATCAATACTACTCAAATCTGTAGTAGCACAAAAGCAGTCATAGACAATATGTGAACAAATGACAGCAGTTGTTTTCCAGTAAAACTTTAAAATACTTCAAACTGTCAAAAACACTTAAGAAGAGAGATATATTTAACCCAATGCCCCATAGTTTGTCAATCCGTGTACTATACTACAATGCATTCCCTTTTAGAGATCTTTATCACTAACACCACTGCATTTTCTTTTCTCTCACTTTTAAAATAATATCTCAATTTTAATGAGCCATTTTATTTTAATGCTTTTCTTATTAGGCTTAATTATATGAAACAGTTTACTCAAGAGAATTCTGACAAGTTCTAACTATAATACCCATTATACCAGAAATTAATCTACAAATAAGAAAACATATTTCTAAAACCAGAATGAACATGTGGAACACCCATATTTAAAATTCTCTTTTCAATTTTTTTCAGTAATTAGATTGTAATTTTAATTGCTCAGGTATATATCTCAATAAATATAATCATAAGCTCTCACTAATATATACAGTGAAACACTAAATATTTAGAAAATACTTTTAATTCTTCAAAAGGATTATGTATACAACAACAATTCAAACACACAGAACTTAAGACTTTCTCTCATAAATTCCCTTATTCCCAAATTCTGTATCACCACAGAACCTTTTTTTCATATAAAGGTTTAAACAGTATAAATTGATATAAAAAGGAATGAAAAATTCCTTCTCCATCAGAGGTTTTATTCTTTCTCCCTTCCATCCCTACCTTGCATCCTCACCTGTAAGCCTGGTCATTCTTGTCTGTCTGTCTGTCTGTCTCTCTCTCTCTCTCTCTCTCTCTCTCTCTCTCTCTCACACACACACACACACACACACACACATACACACACACAGTATTTTTTAAAATGCAACCCAACACCAAATAAAATGGAAAGCATAATAATCAAAAAATACGAATATCAGGTTCAAACCTCAGCCCTAAAACTAAAACCAGGTGAATAGTCATTTCTTAGCTTTGCATCTTTTGGTACACCTCTATTAGTCTCTGTGTCTTCATGTGGTGTTGGAAAATTACAGGATGAGTGAAAATAAGATGTACACACCCCAGTGTGGACACAGGGAATCAAAATTTCTTGTTACTGCCATCACCACCACCTCCACCACTGCCACTGTAGGAAGTCAATGTCTACTCCACTCCTCTACAACAGGGAAAGCACTGCCTTGAATGGTATAAACATAAGGATAATTCTTTAAAAAACACCCTGCAAACTCACCTTATTATTATTGTTAAAAGTCAAGGGCAGAAGGAATCCTTTTTCTCAAGAACTTAACTGTTTGAGAACCTTTATAAAATTAAACTGTTTCTATGGTTTTTTGTTAAATTTCTTGACACATTTTTTAATTGGTACACTACAGCTATACATAATGATGGGATTTGTTGTTACATATTAGTACATGCACACAAAATAACAAGAAAATTTAGCCAATAACATTCCCCCTGGATCTTTATTCCTGAAAAAAGAATTTAACACTTTTTTCTTTGTTTTTTCATCATGTAGGTATTTTAAACCAAGATACATGTATTAAAAGATCTAATATGTTGGTTTCTAAAAAAAGCTACTCAACACTAAGAAGTAATCATAATCAGATTAAGGTCTATTTCTTAAATTCTAACAGTTTGGGGCTTATTGGTGTTTTTGTTTTGTTTTGTTTTTTTTTAATCTTCTGCCCTTAAAGGAACCACCATGCTAATAATTGTATGCTACAGCTACTCTAACATTAGTGGATATAAACATTTCTTACCAAATTACGCTTTTTTAGTGGAAGAAAATAATAATAGTGGCAGAAAGAAAACATCAGTGCGTAGCAAGTAAGAAGTTCAGTGTAGAAACACAACTGTAGAAAAAGCCAATGATTATCTTCACCAACACAATTGTTAATCCTGAAGAAAAAAAAATGAAAAAGAAAACATATTTTAAACTTTAACAAGATGTTCATTTCAGGATCAGTAAGACTAAAATTAAACTCGCATTACTTCATATATGCTTAATTTCATTGAGATGTGCTAAAGCCACTCAAACCTAAAAACAAGCTGTATATTAAAAAAAGATATACCATCTTACATTTGTAAAACATTTCTTACTTAACAAAGGTAAACCCACACATATACAATAATTCTTCAACTCACAACAATCCAGTGAGGCATGAAGAACAGATATTAAGTAGTCTCCTTGTGTCATTGATGGAAACAGAAACGAAATAGTTAAACCACTAGCCAGAGGATGTACAGTTAGAAGAGCTAAGGGCCAACAGAGAAGGAAGAAAGAACCCTCTTTTGACATTCTTCTTCCAGCATAGTGATCTAACTGTGGAGAGCAACAGCTTAAATTTGCTACTCTGACATAAATGCTAAGTGTTCACAATTTTCTTTTTAAAAATCTATTCCTGGTTGCTGAAAATACAAATGTATTAAAAATCACGTAAAAATACTAAGAGCTACATTTCCAGCAACGTAACAGAGAAGTCTAAGTAGGATAAACGATTAATGTTATAATTCAAAATTTTTCAAACACTAATTTAAACTGAGTATTAAACTGTTCTTAACTTACATAATATATCCAAACTTTCAAACTATTTTAAAATTCCAGGAGAAAACTCTAATTTAAAATTAACTTGTATGAATATTTTCATTTCAAAACAGCATTATACTGTCACAAAAAAAAAAAGAAAAAAGAAATAAAAGGTTGTGCTCCTAGTTTAAACTGTTATTTTAAAAGTATATCACTAAATTATTTTTAAGTAAAACAGAACTGAGAAACCTTGTGGAGGCATTTATTAGATTTAAGAGTACATATTTTGTAAACAAAAAGATTTACTGTTGTTACTATAAGCAGGGTTGTAAGAGAAGTGAGCTTATGCATGCACTCAAAGATGTTCTCTAAGGGTTGGGGATATAGTTCAGTTGGTAGAGTGCTTGCCTTACATGCAAAAGGCCCTGGGTTCGATCCCCAGCACACACACACAAAAGATGTTCTTTAATAGCTGTGGTTTAAAAGATGACATCCTTGTCCCATGTTTCTTATACCCAAGAAGTTTGGCAAATAGCTGCTATGATCACTGCACTCTTAACCAGAGAACTTTAATAAGCATTAAATCTATTTAGGTCCCTTCCTTTCTAATCTTATATAATCTTTTCTACTTCTCCTCTCCTACCAATACTGTGAAAACTTTAATAAAACTAGGGAAGCAATAAGCCTAGAAACAGAGAAAAATACTTCCATGATAGAATTTGGGTTAAAAGGCACTTCATTTGGTCACCAACAAGCTAGTCTTTATCTCTTAAACAAATATCACTAACTTTTAAAAATACATTTCCAAGCTGATTTCTTTTTAAGTCTTTAAAACTACAGGATTCTTTTGCAAGGAAGCATCAATATCTTGGCATAATAATGTACTATGAACATTATTATATTTTTAGTTCATTAGAAACATGATTATAAAGTGCTTAAAACTGAGTTCTTCAGTAATTACCACTTTTCTGAATACATGTTTCACATACCTGTTTTTAATCTACTACTGTGATTGCAAACACCATTGAGGTTTAGAAAATTATTTGGGACTTAATTTGTTTAAATCTAAGGCATATTTTAAAAATAATATCTATATGTCACATTATATTATCCTGTTGATAGTTTTAGACAATGTTTAAAATTTTTACATAGTAACAAAGTGCTTTTATTTCAAGTGATCTTAATTTTCCCTAATCTTGGGAAATTATCTTCTATTTAAATAATCAGATTATACTTAAATAATCAACCAAATTGCCACTAACAGTTTGCTAATTAGCTGTGCCATCAAAATAAATTATCAAAAATATGACATTTTTGGTACAAAGTAAAAATTTATTCTCTAGAATATTATATGCTGATGCTCAGAAAATACCAGAATGAAACATTTATGTTTTGAAGGATTGATTTATAAATACAAAGTTTTTATGTTGCCTTTTTGTAAAAACTGTCTCCATTCTAGAGTTTTCTTCCTATCTCTATTCCTTATAATGTGTGAATTCCACGTTTTAACACTGGGATGTTTGAGAGCATTAAGCTAAGTGGAGAAAAATGATAAAAGCAGTTATAAAGAATACTGTAATGTAGTTAACTTTGTATAAATGCATGCATGTGTGTACAAACATAAATATATATGTATATAGATATATTTATAAAGTGCTACACTATACCAGTTTAAATATTTATACAAGATCCAATGCTAGGAAAACAGAATTAAATACAATATCTTGTTCACAGATTTCAGTGACAGCTTTGAAATGAGATACAATACAGAATTCTCACAGCATTTGTTTTCAAAAATTCTACTTTTCAACTGAACATTTTAAGTATTACAAGAGAGCCCCCTATTGACCAAAAATGTTGGCAGTTCAACAAAATCAGCTAATTACTACTTACACACATACAACATGCATGAACTCTATTTTTTTTTTAATTTTTTAGTTGTTGATGGACCTTTATTTTATTCATTTATTTATATGCAGTGCTGAGACTCAAACCCAGTGACTCACACATGCAAAACAAGCACTATACCACTGAGCCATAACCACAGCCCGACATGAAATCTTAATACCTATATCTAATACATAGAACTTAAAAAGGCGTATGGAGTAGAAGCAGGTTATCAGGGTATCTGAAATGCACTGCTCTTTAGTTGAACAAGAAAAGGCAAATAAAAATGTTGGGATGTATATGGTTTGTTATAAGAAGAACTAACAACTACTATTTAAGTACTTCCTGCATGACAGATACTGTACCAAATGTCTCATTTAATACAAGCACCTCAGTCTTTTTGTACATTTGGGTGCATGTTAATTTTTATTGTTCTGCTCAAATATCTCCTTGTTGTTAGCAAAGGGGATCTCTGTGGAAAAATGCCTTTGGGAATTGACAGAACCATATGACCGAATAAAATATACATATGTCCTTATTAGAAAATTTTTTTTAACTGAATAACTTAATAAAATTTTTGTTTAATCCTGGCAAGTTTGAGGTTTTCACCAACTTGTTTTTCTTTTTTATTTTTCTTTACTTTTCTTTTTTCTTTTCTTTCTTTTTTGCTAAAAGTGACTTTTTCTTTTCTTACCATGGACAGTGATGATCCATTCTTCTCACACAGTGGCCACAGCGGCTGCAATGATGGGAACGCTTTGGTCTCAACAAATTACACTTGTTACATAATTCCCAGAACTCCCTTTCTAGAGAAAGAAATTAAAATGCATTTAACAAAGACAAATGATTAATGCTAAAATTCAACAACAACTGTTTAGAAGATTTTATAGGAAGTCTTCAATATCTATCTCTAAGAGATTTCTAAGTCTCCAAGGTAAATGTGCCGTAAATGTTGTTGTTTTAGTCTATGTCTGTCTTATTTTTGTGTTTCTAATTTTAAACATTATGAAAATAAAAGATTACTGTTACAGTCAAAGTAAGGAACAGAAGCAATGTATTTAAGTTTTGCACATATTGCTAGAATATAAGTAAAATCCAATGACAAAACCCTAAAGTACAACTGAATTATTATATCAAAACAGAATTTATTTAAACAAACTAATTTATAGAAATTGTATCATCTAAAAGCAAAAGAAGAAATAACATGGAGTCCTGGGTTCAGCAAATTAATAAGTTGAAATTAATCCTATAAACTCACTAGAAAAACAGAGATGGTATTCACTCCCAAATGCTTTCCATAAACCATTTTTAAAATATCAATGAATCAACCTGAGAATATGTACAGGAGCAAGTTAGAGTAGGGGATCAGAATGGTTTAGAAGTATCAGAATAGTTTCAGTAGTGAGGAAGGTTATAAAAAGATTACTATATAATGCAAATAAAGAGGCTCTTCACAAAACTGTTCTATCACTAAGCAGGGAATATTCTCTGGTATATAGTAAAAGAGCAAACAATGACATTCTATGCTAAAAACATGAGGTTTGCATAAGTAAAAAAGGCATTTGTTTTCATTATAAACTGTTTTAATCAGACCCATAAAATTATGGGACAGTCATCTTTCAAGACAATACAAGTGCTCTTATATAAATGCGTCTTTTAATATGTATTGAAATGAAATTTTACTTTTATAAAATTCTTAATTTTTTTCAGCACTTATTTTATACTACCCCATATCCTGACTCTCACATTCACAGTGAATATTACTATATGCAGAATGTGACTAACATACAAAAGGTGGTCTACAAATGCTTGCTGAAGTATGAAAAATTTAAAATAAAAAAGGAAATATTCTAAATAAAAATAAAAGATATTAGAGGTTTTCTAAAATGATTTAGAAAATCATTTTCTAAAATGATTCCCCATTTGAATTCCATTATTTTAGTTTAATGGCCAGGAAAAAGTCAACATACTGGAATTTTATGTGGTAAAGCATCAGGGAAATGTTTTCTGCTACAGATGTCTCTGAAAAAACCAGTAAGTACAAATAAAACCTACATAAAATTGATTTTTCCAATAAGAAAGTTGATAACATTATCTTTTACACTTGAAATCTTATTTTAGAAGAAAATCCTTTTATTTCTTATAGTTCTTATTTTAGTAGAAACATATCATGTGAGACAGCAACAATATTAAAGCTGAATTTAGATACAATTAAACTAGTATTATTTAACTATAAGTGAAATGGAAACTCATCTATTATGTAACACATTATGATATCACAAGCATATCATTTTTCTCTACTTAGCTTAATGCTCTCAAACATCCCAGTGTTAAAACGTGGAATTCACACATTATAAGGAATAGAGATAGAAAGGAAACTCTAGGAGATAATTTTCACAAAAGGGCAACATAAAAACTTTATGTTTATAAATAAATCCTTCAAAACATAAATATAATGTTTCATTCTCGTGTTTCTGAGCATCAGTATATAATAGCCTAGAGAATAAAATTTTTATTTTGTACCAAAAATGTTATATACTATGAAAAGAAAGCATTTGGCTATGTAAGAAAAAACCTATAATTCTGTACTTTAGACCACAGACTGGCAAATTACAGTCTGTAGGAAATCCACTCCACCACCTGTTTTTGAAACCCATGAGTTAAGAATGTGATATATCAAAGTCATATATAACATGAAAAAATATATGAACTTAAATTTCACTGTTTATAAATAAAGTTGTATTTGTTATATGCCCATTAATTTATGTATTATTCATGGTTGCTTTCTGTGCTACAATGACAAAGCTAAGTTGTGACAGAGACTTATATGGCCCATAAAGGTCAAAATATTTACTATCAGGCCTTTATAGTAAAGAAGAGCCTGACAACCTGTGGTATGGACCATAAATTTGGTTAAAGAAAAAGCTTGGCTAAATCGAAGATACTACAGAATATCTAAAATGAGAAAGACCTACAAACAATTATACACACGTACATACGCACAATGCATCCCTATGTGTTCAGAGAATAAGTAAAAAAAAAAAAAAAATCACTATTATAAAAATCTAGAACCATAAAGTACATCTACAATGTTTTTGCTGTGTTGCAAGTAAAAAACATCCACCTTAATTTAACCTATATACTGATAAAGCATTTCTTAGTGTCTTCTCTTTCCTTTTTCAGGGTTTTCAGCTCAAAATAGGACCTTGGTGAATGATACAGTCTGATATCTGATGATTTACTGTTGAGATTTTTGTAGTAGCCATCAAACAATATAAAATAAAAGCCTATGGGCTGGGGCTGTAGCTCAGTGGTAAAGCGCCCGCCTCACACGTGTGAGGCACTGAGTTCAATTCTCAGCACCACATAAAAATAAAGATATAAAAACTTATTTCAACAATTTAAAAAATAAATAAGTAAAAGCCTATGAAAGAGAGAATCCAATTGATAATTTATGGTACTTACGGAAAAATTAAAAGCAAACACATTTTTTTAAGAGAGAGAAAAAAACAAAACAAAGAGAAAAAAGACAAACTGCATAAATGACTGAGGTTGTTTGAGTAAATAACATCACATTATTTAACCTGGATCTCTATTAATGCTATAAATGTCTGAATGAATATAAAGCAATGTTTGGTTTGATTTGGTTGTTTTATTCCCCTTAAGGAATCAAAGCTGGGGACATGGTTCAGTGGTAAAGCACTTGCCTAGCATACACGTGGTCCTGGGTTAGATCCTCATCATCACAAGAAAATAAAATTTAAAAAAAAATAAATAAGGAATCATCTTCTGTTCAAGTCTTAAACAATTACATTTTATGGGGCCCTCTCTCTTAATTACAATATTTTAAATCACAAAGTACTGTTTGAGGAAGAAAAATAATACCTGAACCAAAATCAATATAAGATTTGCATCCTAATATAGGTTTCCTAACAGAAATAGTAGGAAATAAATGTCAATAAGTCTCTTATGGAAGACATTTTAAAAACAACATAAGAGGAAGGAAAACAGTAAAACTATGTATGTCCATGATCATTAATCACACATGCATCCTTAGAGCTTGAGGTAAAATTTTGAGGGACAGCATCAAAAAAGACTATATTTAAAAAAAAAAAAAGGAAAGAAAGAAAAAAAGAGAAAGAAACTTGGAAGATTTTGTTCTGCAGCTCAATTCACATAGCTAACTATGGAACCAACCCAGGTGTCCTTCAACAGATGAATGGATAAAGAAATTGTGGTGTATATATATATATATATATATATATATAATGGAATACTATTCAGACTTAAAGAATGAAATTATGGAATTTGCTGATAAATGGATGGAACTAGAAAATACCATGCTAAGCCAATTCCAAAGAACCAAAGGCCAAATGTTCTCTGATATGTGGATGCTAATTCACGATAAGGGTTGGGGACATAGGGAAGAATAGGGGTACTTTGGATTAGACAGAGGGGAGTGAAGGGAAAAGTGGGGATATAAGGGTAGGAATGATAGTAGAAAAAAATTGGACATTATTACCCTATGTGCATATATGATTATAAGACCCAACTCCACATCCTGTACAACCAGAAGAATGAGAAGTTAAACTTCATCTATGTATGATGTGTCAATGTCATATATAACTAATTAGAATAAATTAAAATTTTAAAAAATTTAAAAAAAAAAAGATTTTGCTCTGTAACACTGTGCCAAAAGTGGCTTTAGGGTCCTGGGGATATAGCTTAGTGGTAGAGCGCTTGCCTAGCACCATGAGGGCCTTGGTTCAGTCCTCAGTAATACACACACACACACACACACACACAAAGTGTCTTTAGAGATGACAAAAACATTGGAGTCACACACTCAAGCTAAGAACTCGACCACAAAAACTAGAGATGATTGTGGTGACAGTTGCAGATCTCTGTGAATATACTAAAAGCCACTGAATTGTACACTGTAAATAGATGATGGCATATGAATTATGCTCAACAAAGTGGTTTTTTTAAAAAAATTAAAAGATTGAATAAAATCATTTCATAAAATGTGAAAGTGATAAAAAATGATATTCTTAAATCGAGTGTTATTTTATATTTGTTATTTCAAACATGCATGTGAAAATTTCAAATAGTATAAATAGACATGTACAATTCATTTGATTATTTCACCTATATGCCCAAAAGTTTTTTAAGTCAAATTCTGGGGATTTCCTCATGAAAAATGGGACATTCCCTTGTATTCAACTTGCCTCATATTTAGTGGATTCCAAGTATACTAAAGTTATTCATAAACACATAAACATACACATTCAGAAAGGTAGGCAAAATATTTCAGAGTAATTCAATTAAGATGGTTAAAACTGTAAAAGTATTAGGGCTTTAAGTTTCCTTTTGTGAAGAACTTAATTATATAAAACTGTTCAACCTTCAAACATTACTGAATAAATGTCACTATTCTTGGGCTTCAATTCTTTATTCATGATATATTATTTTTCACCGCTAACATTTTGTTGATCTTTTTGCCTGTTAAAATCATATTTATGCTGGGCATGGAGGCACATGCCTATAATCCTAGAGGCTTGGGAGGCTGAGGCAAGAGAATCATAGTTTCAAAGCCAGCTTCAGGCACTTAGCAAGACTGTAAGCAACGTAGTAAGATCCTGTCTCAAAATAAAATATATAAAGGGCTGGGGAAATGGCTCAGTGGTTAGACACTTTGGATTCAATCCCTGGTACAAAAAAAAAAAAATCATATTTACAAAAGAATCAGGTAACCAGCAACAAAAAGTATATGATGACTTCAATTTTCCCTAAAATCATAACAAAGGTGAAAAAGAACTAAAATTATTCATCTGTACATAGATCTATGGTAAAAAGATAAAGAGACAGGGCTCTGGGTTTCACACCAGCTCTATAACATAATAGCTGTGTACTCTAGCATAGACAATCCATGTTCCTGACTACCCAGCCTTCCTACCTCAATTATCATGAAGATCCTGTAATATGACACAACCACAGACTTTGAAAACATTAAAATATAATACATAAATGTATTTTCTGATTGGATAAAAGGGAAGTTCCTGGACTCAAAGAAAAACAGGCCAACTGTCAATTAAAACAAGATATAATGCAGACACTCAGAGTCAGAACAATATGCCATGATATCTTCCATCACTAGCATTTATAATCTAAAATAATACTGTGGTCTAATGTGGACTCAGTGAGATCTACAGATATTTGTTGGTATTCAAAATGTTTTTAAAATTCTTAATTAGGTTTGGTTTTTTTTTTGTTGTTGTTGTTGTTTTACTTTTTTGGCTGTTGTTCAGGAGTGGTGGTGGTGTTGCAGTGCTGGGGATTGAATCCAGATTTTTTTATGTTTTTTTGAATGATGAACTTTCTCATAAAAATTGGATTCCAGTTTGGATGTGGTTTGTCCCTCAAGGGTCCATATGCAGAAGACTTGTCCTCAGTGTGGTACAGTGACAGCTGAAACAATCTTTAAGAGGTAGGGCCTAGTGGGAAGCACTCAGGTAATTGGGGGTACTGTTCTTGGAAGGGAATACCAGTCTCCTAGAGTAAGTTCTCATGAGAGCAAGTTGTTAGGAAAGCCTGAGCCTGGCCCCACTAAGTAACTCTTCGGCTTCTTGTTTGGCAATGTGATTGTTCACTCCCATATGCATTCCCACCATCACCATCACCATCCACCCTGATATGATGCAGCCAAAAGGGCCCTCAACAGAGCTGAGCAGATGCAGGCAGCCATTCCTGAACCTTCAGAACTGTGAGCGGAACATTTCTCTTTTGTTCATAAGTAACCTGCCTCACCTATTTCATTATAGTAATGCAAAACAAACACACACACAAAAATGGATTTCAGGAGTAGGGTCTTTACTATAACTATACCTGAAAATGTGAAGTCAACTTTTGGAATGGTCATAGGTTAGAAGAGTTTTGAGGAACAGATTAGAATAATCTAGAATGCTGTGTGATGGGCCTTATGGGAAATTCTGGTGAGTGCTCAGAAGATAAGACTAGGGAATTAGTCTTAGATGGAAAAGAAGATTCTATTGGAATAAAGCCTTGCCAGAGCCTATTTCATGTCATTTGGACTTTCAGCAGCCAAAATATCAAGCTAAATAAGCTTTTGCTTTATAAAGTTAGCCCACTTCAGGTATTTCATCATAGTGACAAAAAGCTGAATGATACACCTATTTTGACTTTTTAAATTTTAAGACCCAGCAATCTAATCGCATGATGATTTCACAGGAACTGGCTTGTGGCTGCCACTATTAGATTCAACAGGAAAACCACAAACCTGGCTCCTTTCACTAATTGGTGGTGCCTGGAGCCTGTAGGCATTTGAGTGTTTGATCATTACAAACAAAAAGAATTTATCAGAAATCCATCCAAAATTAGAAAAAGACTTCTTTTTACTTCTGGATTTAGTATTAAAAGAGATTACACACATATACTATATATTAGAGAGTTTTTGGCTATGCCAGTTGAGAAGTGGGATTCTAAGGCTTAAGGGTACTACCCTCTCTGCCCCCACCATAAAACAGAAACAAATTGCAAGGTGGTATTTCTGTAAGTTAATAAAAAGTAAATATTTGAATGGTATTCAGAAACTTCTATAGCTATAGCCAGGCACAGTGATGCATGTCTGTAATCCCAGCTACTACAGATCAGGCTGAGGTAAAAGGATCACAAGTTCAAGGGCAGCCTGGGCAATATAGCAAGACCCTGTTCAAAATTAAGAAATAAAACGGGTTGTAGATGTAACTCAGTGGTAAAGTATCTCCGGGTTTCACTCCCTATTCCCCCAAAACATAAGAGAAATTTCTTCAGCTACATAAATATGTATAATATTTTCATTTAACCTCTAAAATTTTAAAGCCAAGTAAGCACCTAAATGATGGATCCCAAAAAATAATAATCAGGACTTATAGGAGGCTCTATAAGTGACCTGTCACTTAACCTCAATTCACAAGGAATTACTGCATTGGTTTCCAAACTTTTAATGAAATTACTGTGATCTTTTGAAAATACTGACACATGTACTGACATCCAGATATTCTCATTTAATCAATATGAGATATTTTAAAAAGCCCCCAGGTAATTTTAATGTGCAGCAAGTGTGGAATTTACTAAATTACAACAGAAAGTATTGTAGTTCTATAGCGTACTACAAAGATATAAATTCCTTACTAGAACAAAGTACATCATTCTCAAAAATTATATAGCAAATAAGCAAAATGCAAGACTCAGGAGGATGAGTCTATACTATGTCTGGTATATAATAAAACAAGTAATATATTTTTATTTACTTTTGTTGTTTAAATGGTTATTATGCAATAGGATGATCAAACATTATGTTTAAATGGCACTACATTTAAAAGTTTTCAAATGTTTCACTGACTATGTTAAAACTTGGAGATATATAAGAAACAGTGTTCATAATACTACAAATATTTACTCTAGGCAATATTACATTTATAATATCATGAGGTGTATGGCAACAGCAACAAAATTCCTTTCTTAAATAAAAATAGAATTTCTGATAATTATATTTCATTCAACAAATATTTGTTGCACATCTAAGTGACAGAGATTCTTCTAGACACTAGGGATATAGCAATAAATGAAGGAAGAAAACCCAAGGAAAATAAATCTATACTCTCACAAAGGTTATATAGATCTGGAATAGGTAAAAGGAGACAAACTGAAAAAGAGAGCCAGGGAATGAGAGGGAAGTGGAAGGGATGGTTTGCAATTTTAAATAGAGAAGTCTGGAAAGAAAAATGTGAGCAAAGACTTAAAAATGGTGTTAAATGATAGACACAAATACAGTATTTAATGAATACAATAAAATACATTGATAAAGATAATAATTCTTGTACCAGCAAAACTGATAAATCCAAAGAGTAGCATACCTCCATGTGGGATCTTAGGGTTCTCTGGGAGTCTTCCTGGGTCAGTTATTGAGGCCCTCACTAAGGCGACCAGACAAAATATGGCAATGCCATAAAATACTATTTAAAATAAATAAATTAATAAATTAGTCATTTACCCTTTAAAATACATTATCAACAAGCATATTTGTGTTTAAAAAGTATATATTAACTAACACTATCAGGATAAATAATTTTTAAAAAGATGAAATGAAAAATTAAATAATCAATACTGCCAAAACTATACTATATGTTCAATTTTAAATATTATTTTGCATATTAATAACTTATAAATTTGATATAAATCAGTTTCTTTAATAAGAGTGACTTCTCATCAAAAATGATACAAATAGACCCTACTTGTACTATATTTGATAGCATTTTAAAAAATATTTTACTCTTGAATTTTTCCATTAATTCTATCTTCAAAATTACTCTCAATTAGAGATGTTCAATTGCACCTTTTGATGAATCTTAACATGCTTGAGAATAAAGAATTAGAAACTTTTTAATTTTAAAATTAAAAATCAGGAAAAAATAGCAAGGGAAAACAGATTCAGTCTCTATAATTTCACAATTTAAATTAGTAAGACACATGCATTTTGTTGAGGGAATAAAAACAAAACACACTGCACATGTAAAAGGAAACAATTTGACTGCTCACTCCTGGACTAATTGCATAGCTATAAGTCAGTTTTATCATCTGTATAAAAGAAATTATATAACCCATAGCTCTTTTGAAATACAAATAAGGTAAAGTACATAAAAACATGTACATATACATGTAAAATATCATTCTGATCTGACTATTTTAATCATAGGCAAACCATTAACATGTATATTATAGCAAAAATTAATTATTCAGAAGTTCAAAGTGAGGTCATAATCAACTTCATAATCAAAATCAATGATTTTAGTAGAATGAAACTCTCATTTCCCAGTAATGTACACTACCATCCCCATTCTTAGAACTTCCATATTTGCAATTAAATACAAAACAGAAACATTAAAAATGCAAACATCAACTGCTGTTTTTTTTTTAGCAAAATGGTCTTCATATGTATTTTTCAGACTTAGATAAATATGGAGATAGCTCTTCAATATGCAAATATATAAAAACTATTATTTTAAAAATTTATTTAATTTTAAAACTTATTTAATTTATAATAATAATACCACTACTAAAATAATAAATATATTAAAAGGAAGATTATCATAGTGGCACTACTCTTCAAAAACATACACAATGAAAAAACTTTAATTATAAAGAAAACAAATAAAGATCTAAAAACTTACTTATTATTACTATGCCTGGAATATGTCCTTCTTCATAGTGAGGAAAGAGGACAATTTTGGGAATTAAAACAATATTGTATAACCAGACAAAGACAATCAAACCCATGCAGCACCAACCATGTGGGTCAACAACAAAGTGAATCCGGAGACCCATTTTGCAGTCCTATAACTGCCTGCCAACCCACAAGGAAAGACAATCCTAAGAAGAAGGGGGAAAAAAAAGTTACAAACATAGAAAAAATTACTTGACTAAAAACTGCGTTTCTGGCACCTATAAAATGCATTTACTAACTTTTTTGTATATTTGATTTTTTAACAATAAACACTTATGAAAACAGAAACTTCTGGGTATTAAATTTCACCAAAAGCCTCAAAAAATTTAATTTCAACTGTTCATTATGAATTTCTATTACGAGTATAAACTGGTATTATCTGCTGAAATTAAAACAATATTTGCCCTAACCCTACAATTTCATGTATAAACCCAAGAGAAATAAGTGTACATGTCCAGCAAAAGATTAATAAAAAAATTTTAGTAGATTTAACTGTAAGACTACTGATGGTCACACAAGTCAAAATAGTGTTTATCCTGTAATGAAAGGGTGTGTATTAACTGAAAAGGGGTGTGTTTTAACCTCTGAAGGGCTAAAAATGTTTTATATCTTGATGTGGATGGTACCCTGTGGAAATATAGAAACATTCACTGAGCTGTATACTGAAGGCTTGTGCAGTTCAGTTTAATTTTAAAACACAATAAAATGTTTTTAAAATCATGTACAAATTGCTAGAAACATTAAAATTCCAACTAATCTTACTACTATCTACTCAAGAAGACTCTTGTTTAAATGGGGCTTTGTTTTCAATTGAGTATTAATGATCCACCAACAGATCTCCAAATGAGACACTTAAAAAGTTAAGATATACTTCAACTATAGATATCAATAAAATGGCTTAAAATATACCTACATTTATAACGCTTAAACAATAACACTTACAATATAAGATTTAGTGGGCGCTTTTTATACCAAATATATAGAAATAACAATAAACCAGGACAATGGTTCTTGAACTTGTAAGAAACCAGAATCAACTGAGAAGCTTTAAAAGAATATATATTCCCATTGCAATCTAATAAATCTTAATTCTTCATAGAGTTCAAAAACCAATAAAACAATTTAAAGTGCTTTCCAGGTATCTGATACAGCTGACTGTTATCTAGAAACCATTAAACCTGAATCTTTACAAAGATGTCAATTCTATAGCTATGAGTTGAACTTACTCAACTCAATAAATATTGACTGAGTCTCTGCTATACACCAGTCACTTGTTAGACATTAAAGATGCAACTAAGACTAAGATATGGTCTTTGCTTAAAGAAACTAACAGTCTAATGGCAAAGAGTCACAAAAATATTTAGTATAATATAGTAAGTTCCAGATATGTACTCAAGTTGTCAGTAGGGGCACAAAAGAAGGAAATAGTTAAATGCGGATTTAAGCAAGACTTTCTATAACAAATGAAAACTGAGTTCAGTCTTAAAAGATGAGAAGAAGTTATCCAAGAAAGGAAAGTGACAATAATACCACAAACAAAAGAAGAGCTGGAGATATATAAGAGTAAAAACTGCAAGAGGTATTACTAACTGCAAGAACAAATCATAAAGCTTTCTGTGACTGGGCACAGTGGCATATGCCTATAATCTTAGAGACTAGGGAGGCTGAGGCAGGAGGATCCAAGTTCAAAACAAGTCTCAGTAATTTAGCAAGGCCCTAAGCAACTCAGTGAGATCCTGCTTCAAAGTAAAAAAATAAAAGGACTGGGGACAAAGGACCCCTGAAAGGACCCCTGGGTGTAATCCCCAGTACCAAAAAAAAAAAAAAAAAAAGTTTCTGGGGATAGTGACTGGTAAGAAATGAGAAATAAAGGGCTACAGCAGGAAGGACACAACCATGACATTTAAAATGCTAAGACTTCATTCTTAGGCAAAGGAAACCTATCAAAGCAGGAGGTTAACCTGATGAATTTGTTTTAAATAAGTTAGTGAAGCTTTGGTATGGAGAATAAAATTAAAGACAAAGATCAATTAGGCTAAGAGAATACAAAAGCCAAACTTAGTTTTAGCCAAGGGCCAACTAAAGAAATAGAATCAAACCAGTGAGTCTTATTAATTGATTCAATATTAGGAGTTGCAGAGAAAAGAGTCAAGGATGACTCCTAGACTTCCAACTTATATCCCAACTATTTCATTCTAAGAGTAATTTATCTTCAATTGAAAAGCCTCAGAGTACCATTAGAGGCCTAGGATCTAGAGACTATCATGCTAAATGAAATACACCAATCCCAAAAATACAAAAATCAAATGTTCTCTCAATATGTGGATGCTAACACACAACAGGAGTGGGAGGAATAATAGTTCAGTGGATTAGACAAAGGGGAATAGGAAAGACAGTGGAATGAATCTGACATAACTTTCCTGTGTACATGTATGAATATACCACAATGAACCTCAACATAGTGTACAAGACTGGGATCCTAATTAGAGTAAGATAAGATTTCATGCTTGTATAAATATATCAAAACAGAGTCTACCATCATGTATAACTAAAACACACACATATATACACATATAACAGAAAATAAAAATAAAAATAAATAAAGCTACCAAAATAAAGATTAAGGAGCCATTTAATTCTTAAAGGAGTAGTCTGTCTCTCCTTCTTAGATCCTGCAAATACTGGGAAATGAAGGGAGGTGGGGAGACAAGAACTCAAATGCAATACCATTCAACAGTTTCAGTCAGATATGGCCCAAATTAGTATTTGCATAAGAATTCCAAAACAGGAATAGTACCCAGGTTTTTAAAAGTAAAAGCTAAATTTCACTACCCCTTCATTAGAAAATGAAAAGACAGATCAGTTATCATAAAAGAAAATCAGAGAGGATAAAGCTTAATATCTGTGTAATTTCATAAAAGAAAATCAGAGAGGATAAAGCTTAATATCTGTGTAATTTGATAGGTATCAGTATTTTAAAAACTAAAGAAGTTCATATGCAAATGGTAAGCTATTTACACAGCTAAAAAGAGAAACATTCCAAAGAATGTTAATTTTTTACAGCCTTGCCAACTACCAAGTGCTAAAAGAAATGACAGAAGGTTCTGTTTCTCAACATGTTCAATATTATTAACTTCATGTACCTTTTTGTCCTTTAATGTTTCAGTTCTGTTCAGGACTAAAAAACAGAATGTGAATTCCAATAATTACACAGAATAGAGTAATTTCATTATTCATTTCTAATTTTATTAACATTAGAAACAGAAAAGCATACAAACCAGCAAAACAAGTGGGAAAATTATCAAATACTCATTCATTTTTTAAACTGTTTTCATTTCTTTCTACCAGAAAATAGCAAAATTTTCTCATCCATAAAAGAGCCTCACAACAGAAAATATTGCATAGTAAAAAGTATCATTTAAAAATGTGTCCATTTTTTTTTCCTGAATGCAAACATATATAGATGATAAGCTCTAAAAGAACAAGGAACCCCAATGAACAATGAGCACAGGATAGAAAAATAAAACAATGAACAAGATGTTGAATATTTAAATAAATACCTGGTAAGAGAAAATTAGTGCCACATAATCCTTAAAACAGGGTTGTAGAGAAGAAAATGGTTGTCCAAAGAGCTCCAAATCTGATTACAACTACAAACACATAACTGGTAGAGTTGTAGGATCACTCCAGTCAGTTAATATCTACCAGGCGTGGCTTATGGCTGAACAGAAACTATTACACATCCTGAGCAACAAGCAATACAATGCTGCTGCTTGGTCTTAAGGGTGGCATTTTGTTAAGTACTTTCATTAGCAACATACTAATTTATATATTAAGTGGTGAACTCATAACTCAAACTTTGATGTGACTAGTAGATACACTAGTATTTCAAGATTTTTAAAGATTACTATCTGGTAACTAAACTTGAGTGTAATGACTAATTTCATAATGATGTAAATTACTACAGCACAAACTATTTTTAAAGAAATTATAATTCAATCCTAATTAAACTACACTGAGTAAATATTTACAATGTTCAGATTTTCCCAATGGGATGGATACCACCTTTCCTTTTCTGCCTTTTCAGGCAACTGTATTTCACCACATATTCTCCTCAGGAAGAATATTTATGGAATTGGGAAAAGAAAAATAACAGAAAACTACTATATGACAGAAAATGGTAACATCAGAATGCAGAATTTAGAAAATCATAAAGATTAGCCAAAATAATTATAAGAAATCTTGTCACAAGTATATCCCCAAATACAGTTTTGTATGACTCATCATCTTGGCCAAAGTGGTTTGATGGCAGTTCTATGAATATGAAAAACACATTCCATCATTCATTCCTCCTGTCTGAAATGTCCCCACTACTCTCCTTAACTCTATTTAAATTTAACTCTCAATTCAGGACAATTTGAATCTCATTTTCCAAATGAAATTTTTCCTGGCACTTCAATTCACAATGATCTTTTGGTTCTTAATTTCAATAAAAAGCAAAATTAGAAGAAGAAAACAGCCAATGGTTTTAAAAACTTGGAATGAGGATGGCCTTCACAAAACCCATAAAGTCAATTTCAACCAAAACATTTAAAAAAAATTTTTAATAAAAATTAAAATTCAAAAAATTTTAATAAAAATTAAAATTCCTGATCCCAAAACACACCAAACACCTAGTCAAAAGATACAGTATCCATGGAAAAAATATTATAACACATGAACGATAAGAGACATACAAAGGAAATACATTAAAAGGCAATTCAAAAATAGAAAATAAAATCCAATGGCTAATCATTACTGATTAGGAAATGTAAAATAACTAGGTATATTTTTCATCAATTTATTAAAAAACTTTCAGGAAGACAGATGATATTCAATGTTGAGAGGACACAGGGAAAGGGCACTCTCATAAATTACCAGTGTGCACATAAACTGATACAATCATATGGGGAGGGTAATTTGGCAGTATACATCAAAACGTAAAACCCTTTTACCCAGCAGTTTTATTTTTAGTAATATTGGCAAAGGTACTCGTGAGAGTATACAAGTATACATACATAAAAGGCGGTATAAAGGACACAGCACTTCTTGTAAATTAGAAAAATATAGCACAGCCTACATGTCCATGTAGAAGAGGGGAATGATCAAATAAGTTATAATACATCCATAGTGTAGACTACTCCCAAGTTACTACAATTTTGAGGGGGAAAAAAAAAAAGGAAGGCAGACCTAGATGTGCATGTCACTACCTATAACGCACTACTGAATTAATAAATCAAGTTTTATGGTGGGAAGGGGGGAAATCTTAACAGTAGCTTTTCTGGAAGAGAAGGAATAGGGGCAGACTAAGAAGAGGCATGAGGGAACTTTCTGTAGTGCTAATAAAGATCTATACCATGATATGGAGTCTGAGTTATACAAGTATGTGAATTTGTCAAAACTCAGCAAAGGTACACTTCCAATTATTGCATTTCATGGTATGTAAACTAACCTTACAAAACCCCTGTAAATCAATACTGAACTCTAGTTAATGACATATATTAAAGTATGTGGAGAAGGAAGTATACTGATACCTGCAATTTACTTTGTAATGGATCAAATAATAATAATAAAACTGATTGATGGATAGACAAGAGATGAATATGTGATGAAGTTCAATAATAATAGTTATAAAATCTAAATGATGGGTATTCAGATTTAACACTATAAAATTGATTTCCACATTTCTGTTTAAAGTTTTCAAAATTAAATGTTGGGAAGATAAGTTGAGGAATAGTTCCTATAACATTTTTTTTTTTTTTTAGCAAAAACTACACATAAGTAATTTCTGCATGTGTATAGAGGGGAAAAATTGTTTGAAGAAAACACATATCAACCAAACTGGGTTATCACTGAACTGAAAGAGGAGTGAGGAAGAAGGCTTTCCTATTTTATGCATATATTTATATGTTCTTCTAAGTTTATCAGTATCATATACAATTCTAAATTATTTTCAACCACCGAAAAATAGACTAAGTGACAGGACTAGTGTTATAAATGTTTAATTTGAGCCTCGATCACTATATATTATTTTTTAAATTAGGATTTTTAAAAACTGTTATGTGGAAGGATCTGCCATAAAACAACATAATATTTGCAATTTAGAAAGATATTCCTGTGACTCGTATTATTTACAGCTTATTTTCTTTATAAAAAGTCTAATTTAAGAAAATACGCTTAGTTAAAATGTAATATAAAATTTGTAAACAAACTACATTTGCTAATGTACAATTAAGTGCATACAAACATTAGACTCCAAGGATACTACACTAAATAAATGAGAAACAATAGTCCCACTATAAAATGCAAACTTACCACTTGCAAATTCACTGGGATGTGTTGTAATTTTTCTGGTACTTGCATCTAGAAGTTTTATCTTGATTCATTCTTTCTGCATTACATTCCACCAAATGGACCCTCTCTTCAATAACTGTTCTCCATGAGAATCTATTAATGGTTTAACAAACAATCATCTCTCACAAAGATAAAAATTATAAGCAACTAAACATTCTATGAAAATGACAATTACAAAACTTTTAAATTAAAAAATAAGATGATTCAATTCCACCTGATTCAATGCTTACATATGCCATTCATCCCTGCAGAATTTGTACTTGTTCACCATTACAGATGAAAGTTCTCTCTTTTGAAATCACCTAATTCCCATAAAACCAAAAAAAGCATTACGTGTCCAGCATTTGGGCATCATCAAATTTCCTTGACCACAAATTTCAAAGTAAAATTCAGATTCTGAGATCACTTACATGACAAAATGCAAGTAATATCTTCCAAGATATGAGGTTAGAAGCATCTACTCACAATTAATAAACAGAGAACAGAAGAGTTTAAAATAGAAATTTTGGTTTAAAATATTCTAAGAAAAAAGTTATCCTCCTACAATGAAACCACCACCAGAAGAGTCTACCATAAAAGTTAGATCCTATAGCTAAAGCTTAAAATAATAAGTTCTACAATAACGTATACCAATTAACTGTTATTAATTCAGTCAATATTTATTAACTTTATATTATGCTTTGACACAGGATATAGATGAAAAAGAGACACTATACTCAGTGGAGACTGACCAGTAAAGAGACAAGATCAATTATGATGTAAAAGAAGCTAAGAAAGAGGGAAAAAATGCATCTCACATAGTAAGGGTATTAGTTCATAGAACATTTTTCAGTTTTCTGAAGATGCATGTGTGTGCTGGGATGCATTACAATCAACTTCTTTCTTATGGTAAGCTGTCATCAGGGAAAGATTTTCAGAGACAATGAAGCCTGTGAATGAGCTCAATGAAAAACAGAGGCTTTTTCTAACCGAGAGAATAGAACAAGAAAAGATGTAAAAGCAAGCAGAGGAAATAGAAGTAAATGGAAATGACAAGAATCACTGCATCTGGAACATGGGTCAAGATGTGACAACCTTGGGCTGAGGCTGTAGCTCAGTGGCAGAGCGCTAGCCTGGCATGCATGAGGCACTGGGTTCCATCCTTAGCACCACATAAAAATAAACAAATAAAATAAAGGTATTCTGTCCATCTACAACTACAAAAAAAAATGTTTTTAAGAGAGAGAGAGAATTTTTTAATATTTATTTTTTAGTTTTCAGCGGACACATTTGTATGTGGTGCTGAGGATCGAACCTGGGCCACATGCATGCCAGGCGAGCACGCTACCGCTTGAGCCACATCCCCAGCCCCTACAAAAAAAAAAAAAAAAAAAAATTTTTAATTAAAAAAAAGATGTGACCATAATCAATTCAAAGAAATAAATTCCACAACACTATCAGTACACACAGAAATATATGAATAACTGAAGAAAGACATTTTACCCTTTCTACATAAGATGCACTCTGATACTGCTATTCGATTTTACTTCATCAAAAATATATGATGCTGGTCACAGCCTACTAAACAGAATTCATGACACCAAATAAAGAGTGATCCTCAAATTAAAAAGCACTATGAAATGAAAACATGTCAATGAGTCTGGACTTCATCCTGAATGTAATGGAAAACCATTAAAGGATTTTAGGGAGCAAATCCCAGAATCAAATTTGTATTTGGAGAAGAAAAGCAAAGATCTTATGGCTGAGTTTGGATAGATGGATAAAGTACTGAAACTGACTTAACAAACAACAAACTAGTCTTCACCTAAGAAATGATGAAGGACATCAGGTGCAGTACACACCTGTAATCCCAGCAGCTCAGTAAGCTGAAGCAGGAGGATCGTGAGTTCAAAGCCAGTCTCAGCAATTTAGCGAGACCCTGTCTCTAAATAAAATATTTTTAAAAGCCTGGGGATGTGGCTCAGTGGTTAAGCACCCTTGGTTCAATCCTCATTACAACAAAGAGAGAGAAAAATGATGAGAAACATGGTAAGCATCCCAGAAATGCTTATTTATAAGGGCTATGCGGTATGTTTGTGTTATGAAGTGACACAACAGAAAACATACTGGAAAAAGGACAGATCTAGAAGAACTTTAATGAAAAAACTGATAGGACATAGTGGTCAAATGAAGTAAAGGGCAGATTCTATGATTAGTCCTAAATCTCTGGCTTAGGGACTAAATAAAGTTGGTATCATTCTCCAAGACAGGAAATAAAGAACAAGCTATGAATTTATGAAGTGCACTGTTTACCAATGCAACAACAAAACTATAACATAGTGAGAATGTGAAAAATATATCAATGATTATCATTACATTTCCATTCTCCCTTATAAACTTATAAAACGAACAATACCTGTATTTTCTTTTTTTTTTTTAATTTTTTATTGTTGGTTGTTCAAAACATTACATATTTCTTGATATATCATATTTCACACTTTGATTCAAGTGGGTTATGAACTCCCATTTTTACCCCATATACAGATTGCAGAATCACATCAGTTACACATCCATTGATTTACATATTGCCATACTAGCATCTGTTGTGTTCTGCTGCCTTTCCTATCCTCTACTATCCCCCCTCCCCTCCCCTCCCCTCTTCTCTCTCTACCCCCTCTACTGTCATTCATTTCTCCCCCTTGTATTATTTTTCCCTTTCCCCTCACTTCCTCTTGTATGTACTTTTGTATAACCCTGAGGGTCTCCTTCCATTTCCATGCAATTTCCCTTCTCTCTCCCTTTCCCTCCCACCTCTCATCCCTGTTTAATGTTAATCTTCTTCTCCTGCTCTTCCTCCCTACTCTGTTCTTAGTTACTCTCCTTATATCAAAGAAGACATTTGGCATTTGTTTTTTAGGAATTGGCTAGCTTCAATACCTGTATTTTCTCCCAAGGTCAATTTTTCTATGCAGCGTGATTATTAGATTGTCAAATGTCATTTCTTTCTACTCTAACTTTTTAACCTAATTTAAAGTGGTCTCCTTGCTGTACCTTGCTTCTTAAAAACAAAATACCATAGGACAAAGTTAAGGAGCTGCTACCCTAATGGCAAATAAATGTATTAAAAAAGAAAATCAAACACAATTAGATGTGGAACAACAAAAAGTTCTGAAACATAGCCAAAGTGAGCAATGCCACTAATGCCACAACTCTAGGGTGGCTTCCTAATGTTTCAACAAAACAGTAGTTTCTGTAAGTAACATTAGGTAATACCACTGGCAAATCATCCATGAGGCAAACCCACGTCACTCACTGGCTTAACATCAAAAAAATTCTCAACAAACATTTACAGTTATTAGAGCTCTATTACAGACATAGCATGCAAAATGCAACTAACATTTCAGTGCTAGATCAATACCACTGTCGCTACTTTGAAATCAAATTTCGTCTATGTAGTATGAAAATAATAGTAACCTCAAAAATCCTAAAAATTTTGGGATTACAATATTACAAAGTTTCAAAACTATGACATTAAACATTTTTAACATTGCTATGTCAGAAAAAATATAGTCAAATCACAGAGTAAGTTACCAAACATACCAAAAAAATTTTTTGCAAGGGCCAAGAGAAAATTAATACTATTCTAGATCAATATATGAAATTTAAAACATTATTACAAGCAAAAATTAGTTTAGAAAACAAAGTTACAGCTGTGTATCTTTAAACATACTTATAAAGCTATTTGATTTTATTTATCCTACTCTGCAAAATGGTTAATCGTGGCATTTAGCTCTACTTAAACATGAGGCTCTAGCTGCCTGTAATACTTAGCCAATAAAGTAATTTTTAAGATATCATGTAGGTATTCCATTTATTATCAACAGAGTAGTAAATATATCTTGTACAGATGTTAAAACAGAGAAGCATGTTCAAATGGTAATACAGCTGCTTGCTTTCCAAGCTCTGTTTGACCATCTTTAAAATGGGGCTAAAAATATCAATTTTACAGGGTTGTAATCATGCTCAAATGAGAAGTTGCCTGGCAAAGAAATATCTCCAAAATAGTAACTTTAAAGGGAAGTGTGAAGTAGGGGGGAGAGGGGAACTTAAAGATGAGTTTTACTTCTCCTTTTAAAAACTCTAGAATGAAACAGTGTTTCAGGGTCCTATCCTTAAAAGTAGTGATACAATTTAACCATACCTCAGCTAATTTACTTCCTCCCCCACCAAAATCTGTCAACTACTTGTTAGGGGGAAAAATTTTTTTTTCAAAAAGTATAGCCTTTCAGCTAGTGTTATACTACAAGCGTGTAGTAAAGTTATATTTCTACATGTTTTCCTGGGATTTCTTCAAGCACAAAACCAAAAATAGAAGTTTGATCTAAAACAGAATAATTGAACTAAAAGAGCCCCTAATCTAATCTCTTTCAAGTGCAAGCAGGATGGTAAGAGGAGAAATGAAGCATGGAAGAAAATCATCCTTGATTTCAGAAGCTAATGAGACTATATAATTAAAGCAGGGTATTCTGAATCAATTGCTAAATTCTCCAAGAAGATTTTTGTAAAAACATGGGTGGGGCAAAGTTTCAAAGCATAACATTCTTGCACCATCAATGATTTCAAGAATCTACTGTGTAGAACAAGTATCTAAGCCACTACATTCTGGACAAAACTAAACATAAGCTGTTGTTCTTCACATAAACCTGCTCTTCTGGACACCTGCCTCAGGAGTGAAAAATAAATAAAAATACTACATCTCTATTAATAATACTGCACTACAGTGACATATTTCATCTGAATCTTCTAACAAATAGTAGAAATAACTTGGAAGATATGGGATGACAGCAATTAAAACTACCAAATGTTGTTTTAGTCAGTACCAAATATCTATGTGGGAATATTCATTTAGGAAGGAAGGAATGTGGGAGAAAGGATA